GCACTTGTGAGGCAGGTGGCTTGCAACCACTAAGCTAAATCCCCGGGCCTCATTTATTTTTAGTATATGACACTTTCGATTCCCCAGCTGATATTCCACTGTGAGTATAATTTGCTGTAGTATTAATAATTCACTTGCATGACTTGAGTTATGTAACAATTATCTCAAAGTAGCAAGAGTTGCAAGTGTTGCCTGGCCTTTTTCAATTCAATATTTGCCAGAAATGATACATAAAATAAATCAAGAGTTGTCTAAAAATAGAAAATTTAAAAATATATGCCACTAAATTGACATTTTAGCTCCAAATTTACATTTTTTTCATGAATATAGAAATGTTTTCAGTCACAGTCATGTCCAAATTGTGGCTCACCTTTGTTTTTTTATTTGTTGTTTGTTTTGTTTTAGGTTTTTGTTTGTTTTATGCCTTTGTTTTTACACTGAAAAGGAATTTTCTTGGCATATATATATATATATATATATATATATATATATATTTCTTTTAAAAATATTTCTTATTATAACCTTTTTTAAATGAGTGCCAAAAAAAGTTGATTCATGTGTTGGACATGCTTGCTAAAGATAAAACATGCTTGGAGTTTTGTCTTTCCTGACGAGATGGCTTACGAAATTTTCACCCTGAATTGCTCACACTTCTCATCTAAAATGAAGAATAGTACATATTCATCTGTTTTATAATTTTAAATGAGTTAATCTTTGGTGTTATTAAAAAGGCTTTTTTTTTTTTTGGTACCAGGGATCGAACTCAGAACCTTGTGCTTGTGAGGCAGGTGGCAGAACCACTGAGCTAAATCCCTGGCCTGAGGCTTTGTTTTTTATGGGCGATTGTTTGGTGACTTAATGAAATGTCTTTCATATTAGGTTTTGTAAAAATTTACTTATTTAGGCTTTTCTGCAATTTTCATCAAAACTTTTCATAAATGAAATCCTAATTTTTTTACTACTCCTAAAAAAAAAAATGAACAAATGTGCATAGAGAGAAATTTTTATAACTTTATAGCAGAAAAAAAAAGTTCTAAAATTGAAGATCTGAACTTCCATTTTAAGATGACAAAAAGCAAATCAGTATATACTACTGTAGTCCAGTACCTTACTTAATTGGAAAACACTGAAGGAATTGTCTGGACAAGGCAAGCATACCAACCATTTATCATTATAATAGAGGTATCAGTCAACACACTCAGAGGAGAAATCAAGTAGGCACATAAAGATAAATGAAAAGGAAGTGATAAACCTTGGAACATCTATAGGATAGAACACTGGTCATTAATAAAGGGAATGACTGTAGAGATATGTGTTAATCACCTGTCTGTCACTGTGATGACATAACTGAGAAAACTGCCTGAAAATGAAGAAAGACTTTTTCTTTGGCCCAGAGTTTCAGAGGTTTAACTCCCCTATTGCTTTGAGCCTTTGGCAAGACAACATCGTAGTGAGGAGAGGGTGGTGAGCAAAGCTGCTCAATGCATAGCAGCCAGAAATCTAAGATAGGGAATTTGCTCTGGTAACAAAGCCTTTCCCCCTAAATCCCAGTGAGCTATGGATCCTGAAATGTATTCATCCATTCATGAGCTCACAGCCCTCAAGAGCCTATCACTTCCCAAGGCCCTACCTTTGAACACTGCCGCACTGACTAACCCTCCAGCACATGAGCTTTTGGTAGACATTTAAATTTCAAACCCTAACAATAGGTGTAATTTGGATGATTCTCAAAAACATTATGCAGATAGGCAGACAAGGGCAAGGGCCGGAGTAAACTGAGATAAAGAAATTGGAGACTTTGTGGACATCAAAAGCCTAGCAAGAACAACTGCATACCTTCATTTTCTTACATCTGTCTGCCTCTTTTGTGTGCCAATGCCTGCATCTGAGCATCTAAATTTAGATGCCTCTGTAGTGTCCTCCCTGGACACCTCTCTGAACTAGTGAGAGCTTTCCGTTGTTCTTTCTAATAAACCACACCTAGTTGTTCCCCATTGTGGTCCTGTCAGAGTCATTCCTTATCACCCTCAGGACGAGAGCCCACAGGGAGAGAGAACTGGTTACACTGAGATGAATGAAACCAGTTTCAAAGTGGACTTTGCTTTACTTTTCTCTAGCTTCTCACTGACTAGTCTAAAATTACCATGAAATACAGACAATAAATTATCGGAGGCCGATTTCCTCTGACTGCCTAGAAGGTGGACCACAAGGGTCAAAGAAAAAAGAGACAACAAAGACTTGCACATTTCAAAGCATATGGGGTCTGGGAGGTCAATGCCTCAGAGTGGGCAAAGACCAAGACTCTCTGAGCTAGTCACTATTTATTGGGTACCCACAATAATTGGAGGGCATATGGAGTGACTTGGGGGGAAGCGGTGATCCTATGTCTGATCCTGATCCTGTGCCGATGTGAATCTCGTGCTGATGAGGGTAGAAAGGAGAGCATTCCCACCTCAGTAGGTGGGATGAGCTGAGCTGATAAGGAACCCATCCCTCCCCAGGTGAAACCTCTCTCTTTTGTATTACTACTGGGCTCTCAAGGTACCAAGATGTCTTCAGCTGGTGTCATCTTGCTGTTGAGCGCCACAGCTTTACAGACCATTGAAGCCTCAGCTGTGATGGAAAGCAAAAAGGAGTTATGTTCCCACATACCATAGCTAGCTCTATAGTCATATTTTAATTATGAAATGATTTTATGTAAAAATACTCCCAATAATAAATAAACATTGTTAAATGATTCACTAGGCATAAAATCCCAAAACTCTCAATAAGAGGAAATATGCCACATTCTCCTCTTGCAGTAACCACAATGCGCAGTATTTGTCAAGGACCCTGAGTCTGCCTTCTCCCCAGGAGGCAAATGGTCAACCCTCTTCCCAGGGTTTTCTACATGTGCTTCTCATTTATGGATGCTTCTAAGGGGGAAACCTTTTTCTTTGCCTCATCTACAGCATTTACCTGAGCATAAAGGTAAGGATAATTGAGTGTAATTTACATAAAAAGAACAGTAACAGTTAAACAATTATTTTCATATTAGACATGTACTTATTTCTCCTTGGGAGGTATATGTGGCTTTTTGTTCAAAATTTTTTACAGAAGGTTAAACATACAGTAGGATGTCCATGTCTTAGAATTTTGACCCAGACTCCAATGATGAAAATAAATAGACTCGAAAGATCTCCACATTTTTCAAAGTGAGACAGAAGTTTTATTCCTCTGAGCGACCATTTCTGAAGGAATCTGGTATGGTTCTTTCACCATAGCCATAACATCTTTGCTACGTTTGTTAAATGTGCAACCAAAACTCATTTGTGCTTAGGAAAAATAATGGAGAGACATATGCACTATGCGGTGGGGGGGTGAAGTCATGAAGTAGCCAATTTCAAAATGGCAAAGCAAAGAGAATTGGACTTGTGACCCCATAATATGTTGGTAGAGCATGGGAACATGGTTTTGAGAGTCCTAGAAATATCTAGGTAAAGGGAACCCAGCAGAAAAGTGAAAAATGAACAGGGACTTCAACTCTCATTATCTCTATATTAAAGGTAATTTTATACAAGGAAAGTTGCACAGGTCTCAGAATTCTGGGTCACACACAAATTCCTTCAGCACATCATGAAGAGAAAAAGAAAACTACAGTTTTGGCCTGTGGGAAAGTTAAGAATGTGGTTCAAATCTTCAGGGACAGGAGAAGAGGAAGTATCATAGGAGAAAATCAAGTTCAGTTCCAAAATTATCTTGAGCTTTTACCCAAAAGTGAAATTCATCTCTGAATTATCAGAAGTCACAGTAGTATCTTCCAAGACAAAACATAATCAAATTCTGCACAAATATGAGCAAACTGAAAAGTTTCATTTTAATAACAACAAATTATTTGTTGGGGTGAGGGCAAAAGCCTGTGGATGTGTGTTAAGTACTAAAGTTGTGGGGTGAGGAGCGGGGTGCCAACAGTCTGTTTCTTGAGAGAAGGAAAGAACTGCTCATACATCAAATCTGTGAGATGAGATTGATCGCACTCAACTATGCCACATATTGCTCTCACCTGTGAAATTGCTTTCGTTCTGGCTTTTGGGGATTACTGCTACGTTGAGTTCTGGGAGATATGTTCTCCAGACATATCTGTTCTTTTTTAGACATGTCTGTTCTTTAAAGAACAGTAATATAAGTAACTATTTCAGTCCTTCTGTGAAAATGTAAGTAAACAAATGAGAAATAATTCTACAACTGTGTCCATCTACACGATTACCTAGTACAAAGAAAGAATTGAGCTTTCTAACAAACCCTATGGCTTAAGACGGTCATTGTTATCCTCAAAGCAAAGATATGTGAGTAGAAGTAAGAAGCAGACAGTATTTACCAATCTGGAAAGAATGTAGAGGAGAAACTTTTACAGGGAACTACTAAATAAAGCTTGAGATCATGTTCTTTGGCCTCCTGCTTTCCTTTTTCTGTGTCTCTCAAGAAGAATTCACAGGTAGCAAGCATCAATGCTTTCTGCTTTGAAAGTCTTGAGTGGAAGGAGCCACAGAACAGATAGTAAAGCCCTGCCTTTATGCATGATTCAGACCCACACAGACATATGCTTTACAAATATGAAAGGCATCTCTGAAAGCAATCAGGTTGACCATTGAGGCTAACCATCAGATGACTCCAGGTCTGATCATTCCTGTGGTGAAATTAATGTGTAGAAGGAGACATTTTCAACATGTGAGGAGAGGACTGTGAACTACACAAAGGGTGCAATATTTTTGCTTCACAAGAAAGTGATTGCCTTTGGGTCATTCTGGCACTTGTGCTTAGAAATATTAGTAGTCTTCATAGTGTAATTCTCCTTTGTGACTTTGAATGAAGTGCACTGCCTGTCTGAGGCACTTCAATATTTCCTTCCCTTGTATTGATTCATTTGCATACTACTGTCATATTATTACTCCAGTTTCTTTGTTTATGAAATGATTATATTCTCTTCACAGCATGCTTTTATTTTCTTTGCTAACAATAAGTAAACTTATAAAGTATTACAAAAAAAAATACTTTCTGCTTTGAAATTTCACAAATTGAGCATGTGTCTTCTTGCTAAATCGATCAAACATCTACTAATGGCCAAGAGTGGGGGTTATTGCACTGCTTAGTCATGAAAGCCTTGAGAAACAAACTAGAGCACTTGGCCTTTGGTGAATGAGTCCTATGAAGCAGATTCATCCAAGAACATACAGAAAATACAGACAAATTTTCATTAGTCTTAATCTTTAAACAGAGAAAAGAAAAATACAACAATGTCCCATGTTCTAATGATTAATTCAAGTATCGAAGTCTGATTCTCAACTTCCATTCTGGCACCTTGCTCCCTCAAAGCACAGAAAGTCTCCCTTTTTGTTATTTCCTTCTCCATTTGGGCCTTTCTCCTTTCCTGTTCCAGCTTATCTTCCAGTTTTCTGATTTTCTCTTCATACTCCTCTCTTAGCTGTGCTTTCTCTCTCTCCATCTCTGCTCTGTAATTTTTTTGTACAAACTGGATTTGTTTCTGAATCTCCCCCTCAGCCCTTTGGTACAACTGATTGGTGTAGCATTCTCCACCATTCTCCTTCACAATTCGCTGGACCAGGATCAGCAGCTGGTTTCTCTGGGCCTCCTGCTCAGCTCCTGTTGCTTTGTTGTTGAATGCACAGCAGCGATCACCAAAGTTGCCTGTCAACTTTTGGATCCGTTCTGGAGCATACCTTAAGTACTCATGGATATCTGCACCATCCAAATCATCTTTCCTAGTGAATAAGAGAATCATGAATCTTCTGGCCCTGAGTCCAAACATACTCAGGATCTTTTCTGTGGCCTTGCTCTCTTCCTCAGTGTAACGGCCAAGTGGGACCACCAGGACCAGAGCATGAGGACCCGGCGAGGTCAAGAGAACACAGTGGGCAATCTCCTTGCGTGTGTCAGCATCCTGTGCCTCAGTGTCAAAAATACCAGGTGTGTCAACAACAACAATTTCTCTTTTGTTCCATGTGCTGCTCCCTTTCTTACAGGCCCTGGTAATGGACTTTGCTGCGATACCAGAAAGAAATATTTTCTCTCCAAGGATGCTATTGCCTGTTGCACTTTTTCCTGCTCCAGTTTTGCCCACTAAGACAATTCTCAGTTGAGAATTTCTGTCATCTTTGTTTCCAGGCCCTGGGACATAAAGGAAATCAAAGCCATGGCATTAGAATCCACTTCCAACAGTGTCCCATGCAGAGTGCCCCCACCCCATGCCCTTCTCTATTGCTGGTTGTAGGCTTCTCCTCACCATCACTGCATTCACAAGATCTGTAGCGCCTCTGGCTTAAAGGCCATCTTGCAGTATTTGGGCAAGTAGCCTATCCCTTGGTTTCCTGTCTTCACTCTCTTCTCAGGATTCCCTTGCAATCGTTACTCTGACCTTCCATAGCTTCATACCCCACAGAAGAGGAAATAAAGTGGTTTCAGAAAAGAACTATAAGCTGCTGGTGGTAGTTGTTCCAATAAGATGATGTAGGAAGTATTATAACTAACTTCCGCACATCTGCAGTGGGAGATTTATTTTCCCAATTTATATTCTCTACTTTTCTTCTTCCTATTAAGGAGCTGAGGAGGAGAGTTAACAACCAGTCACTATCTTAAGTCAGAATTTCTCATATTTGAGAACCAGAAGCCCAAGATTTTTTTTAAAAAGTGTACTTCTAAAAGTTCTAGTAATGAGAGCACTGGATATAGGAAGGCTTAGATCACCTAAGGACAAGTGTAGGTGGGAGTTTGCATTATCGTTTAGTCAACATCACAGTGGAAGGCTGAAGGATCTCCTGAGGGCAGTGGTTAGTTGGCCGTAGGAAATTCACAGCTGATGAAATGGAAAGGTATATGGGTTATTACGGCAGCTCTAATACTGCCACAATTTGCCAATGTTGACAATGTGTGGATGATGGTCCACCATGTAGATTGCAAACACAGGCCCAAATCATCCCTATCCATGTATGTGTGCCTCTTTAAGATATGGATTTGCAACTCCTCCCATTAAAATGCAACCCATGAGCCATGTGACTTGCTTTGTGTGACAATGCAGTAGAAAGCACAATGCAAGCAAAGACTCCAAAGCTATTATGCACTGTGGCTCCAGGCCAACTACATGATGATAACAACCCAGCCAGGTATTGTCACCACCCAGGGAGCCCACCCAAGAGCCCGTTACCTACACGTATGTCCATGAGGCTAACAAGATCATCGGGTTGCGCCCTGAACCACAGGTCACCACAGATGCATGGGAAAGTGGCTGAGATTACAAGGGGTGGTTCAGACTCAAGGACTGCCCTGCTGACCCATAGGGTCTGGAGCTACTACACGATTGATGTTTGAAGATACTACACGGTGAGATAGTTTGCTAAACCAGCAAAGGTTCAACTGACTTAGTCTATCTCCACAGGTACAGGAATAATGGGGGGTTATGTGATGAACTAAATCCATCATCTTGTTTAATTTGTTGATTATAGCAAGGCCACCAGGAGCAGGGAGATTATGAACCAGGCTGAGGACTCAGTGACTCCCACTTTCTTCCTGCCCAATCCTTTTTCAGACTAAAGAGAGGGCCAGGAAAGCATCCAGAAAAGCCACAACCAGCTGTCCTCCTGTGTCCATGTTGCAGAAAGCTGAAAATAAAAAACTGCTGAGCCCTGGATCAATCAGAGGCCATTTTAACTTTCTCTCTCCCTTTTAGGTGGTGTGGCCACATCAGAGAGAAAGTGCAGAGGGCCAAGAGAAGCAAAAGAGCAGGGTAAACACAGAGGAATGAGGAACAGGGCTGGATTGTCTTTCTTTTGCTCAGCTGGGGACTGGCTGTCAGGACTGGAGGGACCCACCTCTCTCCCTGCCTGCCCTCTTTTCTGCAGCCTGGCCATGCTGGCCACCTCTCACTGAGCTGGACCCTACCTTACCGAGGTAAGAACTCTCACGGTGGTACTTGGTTGCCATTGTGTAGCTTGAATTCCTGTAGATAAAGAAACATACCCATGTCATTTTAAGGAGATGAACAGCTTGGAATCCTGACCTCTTATTGTAGCCAACACTTTCTCTTTCTTTGACATCAACTTCCTACTTTGATTCCCCTGCCCCACCTCCCAAAATTGGCCTCAATTATCCATTTTCAGTCTTATCTTCAGGCTGTTGCTTTTTCTTTACACACACTAGAATGTGGTAGCCCTTCTCAGCACTGGTTCTGGCCCCTGACTCCTCTTTATCATGGGACTCAGGAGTATGGTGCCTTTTACAGGTTCTCTGTGGCCTACCTTCCCCTCAAAGTTCAAAACTTTCGTCATACTCAACTTTTCCATTGCTGTTTCATGGGCATCTCAAACAGAGCTGGCTACAATGATAACCTTCACATTACTGCTGCCCGCAATCCCTCATCTTAAATAACAGCATTGCCATGGCTCCTGCCAAACCTTGGAATGATTCACAACTCCTCTTTCCTTACTCTCATCAAACCATCACCAAATCCTATGGATTCCACTTCCAAAAGTCTCAAAATTATGCTTCTCTCCGTCTTTATGCTAGTTCAGTCCACTGTCACAGCTTCCTAATGGGTCGTTTTGCCTTCAGTCCATCAGACGTTACTTTTTTTTTTTTTTTTTTGCTACCAGGGATTGAACTCAGGACCTTGTGCTTACAAGGCAGGCACCAAAACCACTGAGCTAAATCCTCAGCCCCAGACATTGCTTTAAAACTAAAAATTTATGGCATTTTTGTTTTGTTTTGATTTTTGGGTTTTGTTTCTTTAGATTCCCTTGTGGCTTCCTGTTGCCTTTAAAAAATAGTTTAAATCTTCGCTGGTTCAACACTGCAAATAATAAAAGTAATACATTACGTAAACAGAATCAAGGATTAAAAATCACGTTTATCACCATAGAGGCAGAAAAGGCCTTCAGTAAAATTTGACCTCCCTTGATGATACAAGCCCTGAAGGAACTAATTTTATGAAGATTTTCCTCAATATAATAAGAGGTATATATGACAAACTCACAGCTAACATCATACTGAATGGGGGAAAGCTAAAAGAGTTTACCCTAAAATAAACAATGAAATGAAGATGTCCACTATCACTTCTTTTTAAAAAAATAATAGTTAAAATTTTAGGTAGAGAAATTAGGCGAAAGAAAGAAATTAAAGGGAGGCAAATGCAAAAGGAAGAAGTTAAATTATTTCTATTTTCAGATAATATGATGCTTTACTTAGAAGATCACACAAATTCCACCAGAAGACTTTTATCTGATAAATAAATTCAGCAAAGTGGCAGGATACAATCAACTTAAAAAAATCTTTTTGGAGCTTTTCTCTACATGAACCTGCTGAGAAAGAAATCAAGAAAAAAACATCCAGTTGCAATATATTTTTTTTTAAAAAAGAAAAAAATTATCTGGGGATGAACATAACCAGGGGTAAAAGACCCTAAGCCCTCTACAATGAAAATTAAAGAAAGTTGAGGAAAGAAATCAAAGCAAACACTAGCAGATGGAGAGAACTCCCATAATCATGGGTCAGCAGAGTTAGTGTTGATACATTGCTACATTTCTGAAAATTCAATAATAGCTCCCTTCAAAATGCCAACAATGGTCTTCACAGAACTACAAAAAACCCACAGAAAAAACCCCTAAAGTTCATATAGAAACACAAAAGACACAGAATAGTCAAAGAAATCCTGAGCAAAAAGAGCAAGACTGAAGCTATCAGAATACCCAGATTCAAAACATACACTACACAACCATATAAACAAAAACAGCATGGTCCTGACATAAAAGCAGACACATAAACCAATGGAAGAGGATGCAGAAACAAACAACTACTGCTATCTGATTCTTTTTTTTTTTTTTTTTTTTTTGGTACCGGGGATCAAACTCGGGACCTTACGCTTGCAAGGTAGGCAGCAGAACCACAGAGCTAAATCCCCAGTTCCCATCTGATTCTTGACAAAAGGGCCAAAAACCTGTCAGAGAAATGACAGCCTCTTTAACAAATGGTTCTGGGAAAACTGGACATTCATATCCACAAGATTGGAACAAAATCCCTGTCTCCCATCCTGCACAAAAATGACTTCACAGGAGAGAAAGACTTTAGTATAAGTCCTAACTGTTGGGAGAAAATAGGGGAAACACTTCAAGACTTCCAGAATGAGACATCTATACTGCAAGAAATAATAGAAGGATTGACAAATGGGACTACATCACATTGAGAAGTTTCTGCCTAGCAAAGGTTATAATTAACAGAGTGAGGAGACAGTCTACAGAATGGGAAAATATTTACCAGCTACTCTTCCAACAGAGGATTAATTGAGAGAGGAAGGGAACAAGGGCAAAGGGGAGGGCAGGGTGAGGGGGATCCTTGGGGGAGAAATGATCAAGGTATATTATATGTAGGTAAGAATCTGCCAAAATGAAATTCATGAATCTGGATAATTAATGAAATAAAACAGAAGAAAAAGAATTTAAATCCACGCAATGGTCTATAAGCCCCTACATGATAACTACCTTCTTTCTCATAAGGTGTTAGCCACAATAACCTCCTCAATTGCCCCAGAATCTTTTTTTTTTTTTGGTACCTGGGATGGAACTTGGGACCATGTGCTTGCAAGACAGGCGGCAGAACCACTGAGCTAAATCCCAGGCCCACCCCAGGATCTTCTTTTTTTTCTTAAATTCTTTTATTGGTACATTTTAGGTATACAATACATTTATCTTTGGGTGCTTGTACCTGTACATGATGTATCTTGGTTCTTATTTTTTCCCCATTACTATGTGCTCTTCATACCCCAGGATCTTTTAAGCTACTTCCAAGTTCTAGGACTTTGAAGAACTATCTGCCCTCTTTGGAGCACTCTCATCCTAGTCTGTCACCCAGCTTATTCCTGCTCAGCTCTCCAGCCCCTGCTCCCCGGAGAGCTCTTTCACAAAGCCTCTCTCCAGCCCTGACCTGGGACACCAGTGCTGGAGTGGTCACCTGCATGGGCTCTGATGGAACCCTGGGGGTTCCTAACAGGACACATGTTACAATAAGAGGTTGTCTGTTAGATGTCTTACTGTCTCCCCTTAGACGGGAAGCTTGGTGTGGGGAGGACCACGTGTCTTGTGTCTCCATTTGCTCCCTGGACAATATTGGACAAAGAGGAGTTCCCAGTAAATATTTGTTAAATAAATGAACTGATAATCTCTCTGCCTTATTTTCTCTTTTCTTGCCAGGCCCATGTCTGATATGTGAAAATGATGATCTTTTCCTTCTTAATCAACACTCACATGGACATTCACTCACATTCACTTTGTAATGTTTTATTTTCATTGCTGACCATAAATGTTTTGAAGAACTCTCCCTGGAGTGGTCTTTGACCAGGACAGCCTGAAAATGTTCCTTGTTAAGGATGAGATCACCAGTTAGGAAGCATCAAAAACAAATTGGAAACACAAAGCTGTTTTAAAGGGAGGGTTATTTTTTTATTCTTTAGGAGTAGAGTGTTAGGAAAAAGCTTCTGAGAAACCAGGAAGAGAAATAATAACATTTTTAAAATCAACTTTGACTGGTGTTAAAGTGGTGTTAGGTGAGGAGATAGGTTACTAACAACAGGAAAACCGGATCTCTGGTGTTTTTTGTTTTTTGTTTTGGGGGGTTTTTTGGTAGGGGGCAGGACCTTGCGCTTTCGAGGCAGGCGGTGGCACCACTGAGCTTAATCCCCGGCCCATTCTCTAGGGTTTCTTAAGGCCCCTTCTTCCAACACAGGAGCTCTTTAATGCCGCTCTGCCAATCAGATGCATTCTAATTCAGAAGCAAAACCAGGAGATGGTGCCCTATGAGTGCCAACCGCAAGTGGCTCAGTTCTCTCTCTGCCTAGAGAACAAGCATCCATCGGTTCCTGTTTCTCCTGAATCACAGTTGCACATGGTGATATTTCTTTCCTCCTGCCTTCTAAGAGAGAGCTCAGGTCAGGGAACCCAGGAAAGGACTGTCCCTGAAGACGTAGGTTCCCTAGGAGGCAGCTCTGAGCGCATAGTCAATGATATAACAAAACCTCAGACTGCAGAGCTTCTGATCCTGATCTGCCGGTTTGGGGGCACTGCAGACTGTGCTGGGCCCTTATGGGTCCCAGTGTTTTTCTTGCCACACCCCTGCTCCCCCCAAAGCAAATTCTGTCCACTCATCCAACTAACTCTATCCCAGGAAGACCAAGTTCATTTTTAAATTCTACAACCAGTGCAGGAATAATTTATCTGTAAAACAAGTATTCTGTAAGCAGCAGCCCCTAAATAAGACATTCATGTGAAGGCTCAACATTCAAGAAAGATTACAACCTGAAGTCAGCAAAAATAGGAAACAGGAACCAACAAAAAATTTATTTTGAAAGCAAGATTTCCTGGAGGTTTAGCATAGAGAATTAACAGAGAGTCAAACCCTCTGCACCAAATTGGATAATCTCTACACACACACCCATCCCTAGTCCCTTACCTGGAAAGTCTGAGTCCTGCACCCTTCTCTGATTTTTCAAGTAATGCTAAGCCAGGATTTTGAGAAGGATAAGCAGAGAGGAAGTGAGGGGAGGGACTGTCGAAACGTGCTTGTTCAAGGGACCTGCCCACTTTATCATCCAGCTTCACTAACAGGACCTTCTGCAGCAATGGATTGTTATGCCATGAACCACATAGAATTACTGAGCATTTGAAATGTGGCAGATGTGATTGCGCAACTGACAATCTTAAGTCTTATTTTAATTAATTTAAAGTTAAATAGCCAAGTACACCTAGTGGATACAGAAAAACTCTATAAGGGTCATGCTGTGCAATTCTTGGGGTGAGGTGGGGGACAGTGGATCAAAATCCAGAAACTTGCCAGCTACTCTGTAGGACCTGTGGGTTCCTGGATCCACTGTTTGGGACAATAGGATATTCAGCTGACCTTAGCTCCTAGGGCCTCAGGCCTATAATAGTGTAGGCAGCTAACTTCTCTCTTTCTTCCCTGATATAAGAAAAGGATAGAGATGCTATTTCCAGGATACAGCCTCTAAGTGATCTGCCAGAAACAAAGGAAGATAAATGACCTACACTTGACTGACTAGGATAGGCCCAAGGTTGCTTTGTGAGATAGTGTTAGAGCCATTTAAAATAGTCTACCATTGGGCTGGGGATTTATCTCAGTGGTTCTGCCACCTGCCCTGCAAGCACAAGAACCCGAGTTTGATCCCTGGTACCAAAGAAAAAAGAAAAAGTCTATCATTGACATTTGATGCCATCTGCCATTAAAGGAGAAACTGTGAGCATGGTAATGGGGGTTCCAGCCTTCCATTATACCCACTAATCTCTCACTAGAAAAGGGTCCCCGATCTATCATTAAACCCCACAAATGAGACTTAGAATTGCAGGCTTACTTTTGTATTGCTTTACTAATTGTAAAATTGGTAACAAGTTTAAAGAGAGATAAGAGATAAGACATAAAATTCTCTGAGGATAAATTTTTCTAATTTGCTTTTTGATTTCTTCTTTGATTCATGGTTTATTTAGAAAGATATAATTTGATTTTCAGATATTTGAGGACTTACCAGATATATTTCTGTTATTGATCTCTAGCTCTTGTAGCAAACTGAATCCGGGAAAAGAAGACACCCAGGGAGGTAGAAGGCAGTGTATGATTCTTTTATTACATCAATGGACCTGACTGGGATTGCTCCCAAAGAAGTAAAGTCCAGAGTATCTGCAGACCAGCAGCTTTATAGGGTTGCAAGCAGGAGGTACAGAAGCAGAAGCACATCCATGAGGCTTAATTCCATTGGAGTTTCCCTGAGAATATAGCAAGCAGAGTTTACACAAAACGGGGAAGGTGGGGGGTCACTCAGAGCAAAGAGTTCTAGCAGGACTTTCTGAGTTCCTTACGCTCCTGTGGTGACAAATTACAGAAGTTATCATGGCTACTCCCATACATTCTACAAAGAGCATAGTTACCTAGTTAACTCATAGTCACTTAATAACACAGTTAACTCATAGTTGTGCAATTTAGTTATTTTTGTTAGGAATATATCTGCCTAGAGATTCCCTTTCATACTTCATTGTCATCAGAGAAGATATTTTGCATTACTTGACGCTTTGCATTAATAGAGACTTCTTGTTGCCTATAATATGGTCTAGCCTAGTAAATATTCCATGTGCATTTGAAAACAGTAGTCTGCTCTTTGTAGTGGAATCTTCTGTAAATACAAACTAGACTGATGTGGTTGATGCTGTGATGAATTCTCCTGTTATACATACTGTGTTTGTTTAAGAGAGGAGTATCAAAATCTCCAACTGCAACTGGATTTGTGTATTTCTTCTTGCAAGCCTATCAATTTTGGCATCATGTCTTTTGAAAGTCTATTATTAGAGGTACAACATATTAGGATTGTTACATCATCCTGAATAACTGACCCTTTTGTCATTATAAAATTATGTTCTCTATTCTCAATATTATTGCTTGCCTTGAAATCTACTTTTTCTGATTTTTTTTTTGGTGGTACTAGGGGTCACACACACACTAAAGAATTGTTCTACCATTGAAGTATTTTCCAGCCCCTTCCAGATTGTTTTGGATGGGATTAAGATGGTATATCTTTTCCTACTTTTTTTTGGTACCAGGGATTGAACTCAGGATTGCAAGGCAGGCGCGGGGCCACTGAGCTGCATCCCCTGCCCTCCTAGCCTTTAATCCATGTGTGTTTTTATATTTAGAATGGATGCCTTGCAGGTAACATGTAGTTAAGTCTACTTTTTTTTTTTGCACATTTTGGTGTAATTTAATAAACAACTCTTTAGGTGTTACTGCTTATGTCTAAATTTTTTTTGTTTGTGTTTTTGTCCTTCTGAGTCATTGCTCTTCTTTTTGTTCCAGTTCCTATTTTTCACATTGTGTGTTTCATAGTAGTGTACACCAACTTTTTTGGATTGCTGCTGCCATGCTGCTCTCAAGGAACAGTCAAGAAGAGCCTACTTTTAACCTGGGTATTTAGATCTTTTATACTTCATGTGATTAGTGATATGCTTGGGTTTAAATCTATCATCTTTATCATTTATTCACTATTTGTCCAATCTGCTTCCTTTTTTCCTATTTTCTGCCTTCCTTTTATGCCTTCATTTTTATATCTCTTTGGTTTATTAGCTACAATTCACTTTGTTCTCTTTTGGTGGTTACTTTGGGGTTTGCAGTTTGCCTTTTTAACGTAGTGTAGTGTACTTTCAAGTGCTACTAAGTCACTCCACATATACAATAGAAGACCCTCACAATACCTAATGTCCACTTCCTCCTCCAGATCTCAGTATTACTGCTGCCTTACATTTGCTATCTACACATTTTATGAATCCCAAGTGACCTGTCATAGAGAGTGACAGGGGCAGAAACAAACATGGGCACTCTCTTTGGAGCCCTAACAATGACAGTAACAAGTCTGATGTGCAGGGGGACTTAGTGGGTCAGACTGGCAAGCCCTCCGTGAAAGTCCATTTGCTCAGTGACTTTGAATCTTTATGTGCATCAGTGAAATGCTGAATTGGACACCTTTGCTTTTAAATTTGGCAGCTTTATTTATGATCTGGCACAGAATAACTGAGGAACCAGATGGTACTGAGACTCAGGCACTGCTCGTGCTGAAAAACTCATCCTAGACCTTTCAAACCCTCCCTCACCTTGCCACTTATCAGGATCCCATGTATTTGTAGCCAAAGATTGGGATGATAGAAATAGAATCTCCCAAGAGCAGACAGAATCTGGGTAGGTGTTTAGAACACCCTTCGGCCCTCAAAGACACTGCAGTTTGCTTCCAAAAGTTTCTGCTCCCGGCTTCATCTCCTCTTTCTGATGCACAGTTTGACATCTTTTGTTTCCACCCATGGACTCATTTCTCACACATATACATACATCTGCACCACTTTGTTAGAAATTATAGGGCAAAAAGACAAGAGGCTTTTTCACAGCACTTCCTCATAAAGCCTGTGGTCTTCAACTGATGTCAGCCCATTTCTCAGAATGAGTTCATGGGCTATAAACATAGCTGTATGCAGCAACACTCCCTCTCTGTCTCAGCCACAACCACTTCCGGCCTCACCTCCTTCACCTTTCATCTGAGCAATCGCACAGAATTGCATTCACTTCACAAGACAGAAAGGTTAGGATGGAGGGGCCTTGTCCCCTACCACGTATGTGAGGTGCTGCTCAGAATGGATTGGAGCGAGAGGTCAGAAAAGAGGGAAAAGAGAAATTGCCCATGTCTTCAATCTGGAGGAGAAAGGATGCTCACAGCTGTCCCTTGAACTGAGTAAAATGGCCAGTGCAATGAGTGGGTGCAAGTTGTGCTGTCTCTGCCCTTCAGAATCCTGACAATGGAGTTGGAAAGCCTAAACTGCTTATAGAAATCTTAGCAGGTTCATTATCAAAATTATCAAAATAATTTTTTATTATTGCTTACTTTGAACCGATATCAACTTGAAGTTTGTATGAAAATATATGAATGGCCACAAATAGATCTGTGTAAATACAAATATGTGACAATATTTTGCACATTTTTCTTGTTTTATCTTACTTGCATTGAATAAGAGATCAGTGTCAAGGCAACAGATTTGTCACGTGGTACCTATTCTGTAAAAAGGATCAACATATATTAGAGACTGCAAATGGCCTCTAAAGAGATGAGTGGCATAAAGGTTAAAAACCTGTGGTGTCATGGAGAACTTGGGAGTCGGTGTCAGATATAAACAAATGTCTGGAAGGCAAAGGGAAGAGTATACATTAGGCAGAACATTCACATTAGCATGAGCCCAGAGAGGCTGCAGCTGAGGCAGCCACAGCAGCTGAGCATCTAAAGAGGATTCAAGTTCAGTTGTTGGCTGTAAGGAGCTGAGGACTGAAAGTAGGGATTAGTAGAAGCTTTGCATATGAAACAATGGGCCCCACAATCCCCTTCCTCCCCATAATTCAGAACTCCAAATTTCAAGGTAGCTCCCGAGGCAGGCCATGAGGAGGTTCTCTAAAGGTTAGACTGTTCCAGAGAAAACCTTCAGTAACATGAACCCTTAGGTTCCCTGCACATACCTCCCTCCTCTTGCTCTGTCACCTCCAGCATACACTGAAGTCTACATCTATCCATGAGAGAGCTTCCAGTCGGGTTTTCTAATAAGTGATTCTTAAACTGGGAAAGGAAACCAAACAAAACTGACATTTGAGGAAGGACTACAATGTGAGAGACTGGAAAGCAGTGAAGAAAAAGAGAAAAAAATAACCCTGAAGGAAACTATTATTAATTCTGGATATGAAAATAAGAAACCAACAAGCAAAGTTAAATTTAACTTTCAGTTACCCAGATTATAAATTCCCTTGCTGTGCAGGCAAGAAAGTAAGCCTTCCCAGCCTGGAAGCTACTGAAAGTGGACAGCCAGACTAGGCAGGGGAGGAAGGCAGCTGGCTGTCACTCTGAGGATGTTTGCCAAACACGGAGAACTCATCTTTGCTTTGCCAAGCCACGCCAACATGAAAATAAGAGACAAAGGCAAG